TTTGTCTAACTCTGGTCTGAGATAAGAACAACTGTTTAGAGTAAGAATTTTCATGCAATATTTTCTAAATGGATTAGAATTAATAGGCATGTTTTGTTTATTTTGGCTTAGTAACTTATGTTTATCCATTTGTTTTCACTTGCAATCACCTAAATCCTAACTTTTATACTTGATAAAACACTTTTGTTTATTATCAAGCCCAGTGTAAATAAATGTTATGGTTGGAGGAGCAACCACTGTGCATATATCTTTTTCATTGGTAAATATGGCAAACTTATAATCTTGTTCTGCATAAAATTTTTAGACAGAATAAGGTGGATTTATTTGGGAGTTTGGTTCTCTTTTGGGGTCTACGTTCTTGGGAGTTGTCACTGGCCTTACAGCTGAATCTTTCCAGAGCTGAGCTGGTTCAGTGTCAGTGTTATTCTGCAGGGGGACAGTAACCCCTGTTCTCTGGGTTGGCTGGAGAGACCAGAGCTTCTGGTCCAGCCCTCACTGGAGAAAGAACGGGTTAGAAACCATTTAGAAAAGCTAGACATGCACAAATCCATGGGTCCGGATTTAATGCATTTGAGGGTACTGAGGGAGTTGGAAAATGTCATTGCAGAGCCTTTGGCCATTATCTTTGAAAACTCGTGGAGATCGGGAGAGATCCCAGATGATCAGAAAAAGGCAAATGTAGTGCCCATCTTTAAAAAAAGAAGGGGGACAATCCAGGAAACCACAGACCAGTCAGCCTTACTTCAGTCCCCACAAAAATCATGAAGGGGTATGTCTAGACTACAGGCTTCTTTGGGAAGAAGCTTTTTTCGGAAAATATCTTCCAAAAAAACTTCTTCCAAAAGAGAGCATCCATACTGCAGAAGTGCATCGAAAAAGCTATTTGCTTTTTTAAAAGAGAGTATCCAGACTGAATGGATGCTCTCTTACATGTAAGCTGTGATTGCTATGGACAGAATGGCCATCAGGGCACCTGTGCTTTTTCCTCTTCTTCATAAAGAACTCCCTCTTCCCCATCCACACACACCTTTTTGTGAAAGACCTCTCTTACAAAAAGGCTTCTTATCAATGCTGGAAAAAACCCTCTGTTCTTTTGAATTTCTTGCGGAAGAACGCAATTGAAGTGTGGACGTTCCTCAAGTTTTGTCAGAAAAATTGGCATTTTGCCAACAAAACTCTGTAGTGTAGACATACCCATGGATTCACCAAGGGCAAGTCATGCCTCACGAATCTGATTAGTTTCTATGATGAGGTGACTGGCTTTGTGGACATAGAGGAGTCGGTGAATGTTGATATACCTTGACTTTAGCAAAACTTTTTATACTGTTTCCCACAATATTTTTGCCAGCAAATTAAGAAAGTATGGATTGGATAAATGGACTGTAAGGTGGATAGAAAGCTGTCTTGATTGTTGGGCCCAATGGGTTTTGTGAACAATGGCTCAATGTCAGGTTGACGGTTGGTTTCAAACGGCGTGCCCCAAGGATTGGTTCTAAGCCTGTTTTTGTTCAACATCTTTATTTATGAGCTTCCGGGGGAAGCTGAGTTAGTCTGTTACAGAGAAAAACAGCAAGCAAATGGTCTGATAGCACTTTATAGACTAACAAAACATGTAGATGGTATCATGAGCTTTCGTGGGCACAGCCCACTTCTTCAGATGACCGGAGTTATGATTAGATAAGGAAACTGGAAATAAATAGAAAGGAAAGGGGAGGGGGTAAGAAAATGAGATTATGGTTAGGTCTCACAGATCTGAAGGTAGCGGTCTTATCACAGGCCAGTTCCTTCAAGCCAAATCCACAGGGAAAGCTTGGAATTACAATACATATGCAAATTCAATTAATTATGGACTTAATCAAAATAGGGGTGGTGGGACCTTTATCAATGAAGGTGCTAATTACTTTCTGAATGAAACAAAAACAGGACTATGTAGCACTTTAAAGACTAACAAGATGGTTTATTAGATGATGAGCTTTTGTGTGCCAGACCCACTTCCTCAGATCAAATTGTTACCCCCATGCTACCCCCATGGTGCACACTGGAGAAACAGAGATTGAATTGTGGCCCCCTGACAATTCAATGCCTGCTTTGCAATTTCAATGCCTGCTTTGATCTGAGGAAGTGGGTCTGGCACACAAAAGCTCATCATCTAATAAACCATCTTGTTAGTCTTTAAAGTGCTACATAGTCCTGTTTTTGTTTCATTCAGAAAGTAATTAGCACCTTCATTGATAAAGGTCCCACCACCCCTATTTTGATTAAGTCCATAATTAATTGAATTTGCATATGTATTGTAATTCCAAGCTTTCCCTGTGGATTTGGCTTGAAGGAACTGGCCTGTGATAAGACCGCTACCTTCAGATCTGTGAGACCTAACCATAATCTCATAATGTAAAAGGGGAAAGAATTCCACTTTAAGATAACTATTCTGAGGTCTCCTGCTCACCATGGGTCAAACTCCTCTGACTTCAGTGGAGTTATAGCAGGGATTATTATGGTCCATTCTGTTTTGTGAACATTCAGGAAGTACTTCTGTAAGCAATGACATTCGGTGAGAACAATATTGCTATATCAAAATGCCGGCTAGCTAACACCCTGCACTGTATTCTCTGCCTGATCTGTGAATAAACAGAGGAATTTAGTTCCCAATGTGTCAGTCTGGCACATTTCACAAGCACTATGTTCCCTTCCAAAAAAAAAATTAAAAAAATCAGCCAGTGACATACGGAATGTGCTATAGTGAGTGCATGATAGCTTTCCTGCTGCTACCCACTGCAAATAATAAATGAAAACACCCACAGATAGATCACACCACTCACAGCCAAGAGAGAAAATATGATCCCCTTTGGGACAACTGACATTTTTGCCCTCTGCCAATTTTCTTTTCCCATCCTCCTTTGTCTGTCTGACCTTCCCTTGGGACTCACCTTTCTTCTTTCTGTAGTTCTTTTCCTGAAGTAATTCTGAATTCCCTCTGTGACCTACACTCCCACCCCCTTTTCATCCTATCTATTAAAATAATTAGCAATCAAATAGCGGTGACATTTTAAGTGTCATCCTTTTGTTTTTGCAGTAAGTCACCAATACGATTAATGAGGTGAGAAAAGGGTGGCGCACCCCTCCCCCACCAAAGAGCCAGGATTTAGGCTGTCTATAGATAACACTCAATTCACAATATCATTTTTCTTAAACAAAAATGAACAACTCTCTTCTCCCCATTTGATCGGGATTCTGCTGAATGGATGTATCAGGCAGTCAACATAAATGTACCAAGCATTTACTAACCTCTTGTTAACAAAAATCACTTACCCGGAGTTTGACTGTTGCACTCTCTTGGGTGAGAGAAAGAGGGAATGTTCTAATGTGCAGTGGTAAGTCCACCCACTTAGGAGGTGGCAAACCCTGGGTCCAGTCCCCCTGCTTTAATTGATCACCAACCATTGTTTC